GCTAGTAATTTTTTTGGAAGAAAGGAAGACCTGTTGTATAAAGGGAACACTTCTTCTTAAAATGGAACCAGAAGGGACATCGGAGGGGAAAAAGGGCTAAAGAAGTTCTTTTCATACATGGATAAATGAACGTAGGCTGGCTGAGAATGTGTTTTTGAGGTGTAGGAGGCACAAGGAGATGGAGAACATCCCAGTTGGGCTGGAAGGAGCCCTGGACTGGACATTGGGCATCGCGTAAAGCGGCTGAGACACACTTTTGTACGATAAGAGAGAAACCAACGTTGGGCTTGGGTCCCAGGTGCCTCTGCCCGGGATCTCATGCAGTGCTGAACTGGTTGGTGCTGGAACAGGTGTGGGTGCAGCTCTCCCTCAGGTTTCGGCAGGAGGCATCTTTACCTTTGAAGGAGATGATGGACCACAAACCACGGTGGTGACAATTCACTGCAGTTGGGGTTTTTTTGGGGGTAATTTAAGAAAAAAAAAAAAACCCAAACAACAAGTTTTTATCTCTCCCGCAAGGAGCGGTGGGTGAGTTGTGGAGATAGGAGGGGTGTGTTGAAAGTTCACTTTCTCTCAAAAGAAACCTTGTGGTTTCAGTGTGGCCAAGAGGTTTGCTTCCTGCGAACGTCCCCGACGCAGCCTCTTGTGAATCCTCATGGACTTGCTCGTGGAGCACGTGGGCTCTCACCGAAGGGCGGGAGAGCTGGCGCCTTCACGGCATTCGCATCAAGGTTCGGTTTCTGCCCATCCTGGTCAAACATGGAAAAGGTTTTTTGCTTTTTTTGTCCTGCTCCACTTAGCTTAGGTTATTTTCTACTCATCTCTGAAGCCGCTTTGTTGTTACAGACCAAGTTCTCGCTCCATCCAAGTTCTGACTCGTGTGTTTGGAGATGCTGTGACAGGTTTTCCATCCTTATCTTTCAAAGGAGGCCCAGGTATATAAGATATCCAGTTTCCCTCTGCCAAAAAGCATGACCTCTCTTCTCCTTCCCACACATGGCTCGCCCACGTCCCCTCTCATTTCCCATCACCTGTTTTTCAATGTCTTAGAGGAAATCTTTGACCTCACCGAAGTTGCCTATGGCTGGATGCCACTCAATGCCACGGCTTTAGGCAGTCTAACGGCTGCAGAAGCACAGCAAAGCCACGCAGCAGAGCGCTTCTTTCCTGCTGCCGTCACGGCCTTTGGGAGGTCTTTGCACCGCATTTCTGTAGACCTCTGATTTAGGTACCATGGGAAGGATGTCTCGAGGATCCAGTGTCTGCAAAAATTTTTTTAAAATCTAATAAAAATAATGGAAATAAAAAATTACTCAAATCAAACTCTTGCCTGCTGCAGAAACTACAGAAGCTGTTAGGATATTTCGAACATGTTTTGGTTGATGCTGGCCTGGATAAGTCCACAGATCAATACGAGCGGGCCATTCTGAATTACTGGCATCCAGGAAGCGGTTAGGTTAAATATAGTCGCAGGCGAGATCCTCACCCTCCTTCTCCCTTTTCAGAATTACCACTCAGCACGCACAAGTATCAGCCACCCGGAATGGCTGCAAGCTTTTTCCTTCCTGAGCAAACACCACAATGTTTATCAATATACGCATTAGTCATACATCAAAACCACCGCGACTGCTATCAGGACGATTCAGAAACCCTGGGATTACGGTATCTCTGTCAAGTTCTCCTTTCTTGCTGCATCCACATTTATTTCGCCTTTCCTACCCGAAGCAGAAACTTGTAGCGGCTTGGGGACCAGCTAGGCAAATGTACGTCTTCTGGGTGATGTGGCGGGGATTCACCAAACTACCCCGGCGTCCTGGGGGAAACCCACGCGCATGGCTTCAGAGATGGAGCCAGCGCTGGGCTTCACTATGAAAATCTGTGTCTGGGTATGAATCAAGAGGGCACGTCTGAAAGGGAACTGATGGTTATGCTCTGTTCATCTCCGTAGCCGCGTGGGCTGTGACTGCCATGCCGCCCCACCGCAGAGCTGAGCCCGTACTTGGGGCTGTCTTTCCAGAAGCATCCATCCACAGGTCAGGCCCAGGACACTGTTGGGCAGCACTGCCTGCCCTAAGGATGCCATCGTGGCTGTGGCTTCCTCGCAGCCCCAGGGTGAGCCCGTTCTTTTGTCCCGGCACCGTTGACTTCTACTTGGAGGGGAGCTGCTGCCAGGGCCAACCCTGCAGAGGGGACAACGTCCTTGGTGCTCGTGATGAAGAGGAGGCCCTCCGGTCCTCTCCTGAGGGATGTGTGGGTTTCATCCCAGGTACAAACCTGAGTTAATGAGCACCACGACTGTTGTGGAAGAAGCGGGGAACTTTGTGCCTGTTGCGAGCCAAACCAAGCAGCACATCCCTAGGGGAGACAACCTCAGTGAAAGCACCTGGGATCTTGCATAGGTCTGGGGGCAAACATATGCCCCAGGCTAAAACTAAGGTCGCTGTGGCCAAACTGATCGCCCAGGACCCCTCTAAAGCCACCTCTCTAAATCCATCCAGCTGAAAAGTGCTTCTGTAGCTCCTACTTCTCTCTAGGGTTGATAGGAGATGGACACCTGCCCTGTAGCCACAAATCTGGGGCGTGATCTCGCTCATGAGTTATCTTGGTCTGTCCATTGCCTGTCTCCCAGGGTAGCTTCTTCCCGTACCAGTTTCCCGAAGCGCTGCCGGCCCCGGTGTCGGTTTCCCTGGGTCGTGGAAGAGCCACGCTTGGAGCGCCGGCTGCGTGCCCCGACTCAGTCCTCTCCGCCGTGCAGCGATGGGGAAAGGTGCTTTCACTTCTCTCGCTTTTCCCCAGCTATAAAAGCAGGATCCCTTTAAAGTTGTAAACTTTAGAAACACTTTGAAACCTTTTTGGTGCCTCCATAGTACTTTCAGCAGGTAACTGGTTATCTCTCCCAGTAAATCACTGCCTTTCCCACCCTTTTGCAGACTTTTCTTTGAAGGGACCCCTGCCACGATCCAGCAAAACCACTTAAACCAGCCCTAGGCTGGGTTCCTTCTCATAACTCTCTGCAAGGAAATTGAAAACTCTGAAAATACTGAACAAAACCCGGTTTGAAAGCCAGCTCCTTTTCCGCTGCCATAGCAGCAAGGCTCTCGTTCCCTCCGTAGGGCTTTGGGAATAGCTCACGGACATTGTCCCTGGCCTCTCTGTGACCCTGAGGTACACGGAGTTAAACTCCGCGCTCGTCCGTTTTTGACCTTGATCTCTTGAACAAGGCCTTCACAAGACTTTTGGACCTATCTCGGAGGAAAAAAATTTTTAAGAGAAAGATGAGTAGCTTACGGTGTGAGTGGAAGACTTTTTCTTTCTTTTTTTTTTTTTTTTCAGTTTACCATTTTGTTACTCTATAAAATGCTGATGTGATTTGAAAGCTCCAAATTACGACGTTATCTCACAACCACATCATTTTTCTTCTGCTCTCTTCCTTCCTCCTCGCCTCGCTATCGTGGCCGGGTGTCCCCTTCCCCTTTTCCTTCCCGGCGGCTGACTTTGCCTTCTTCAGGGCAGCCCCCGTCCCACCAAAACCCGGGAGCGCGGGGTGCTGCTGGGGCTCTTGCTTTGGTTTTCCTCCGTGAGAGCGGAGCGGGGTGGCGTTACAGGACGGACTTTAGTCCTTCGACGGCTCCATTTGAGAGAAGCCCAAAAGATGCTGTGAAACGTGCGGAGGAGCAAGCGCCAACCGATGGTCCCCCAAAACGGGCTGGCGTATTCCCTCGTGTGTAAGGCCCGGAGGACTCGGCGATGCCAGAACAAAGCCTTAAAGCCTTGTGGACAGGTGGCTGTAGAGCTTTGTAAGGATGTGCCCGGTCTGACCTCCCTTTCTGTACGCTCCTGCAGTTGCTCGCTGCCACGTACGCGTCTAGTTTGCCTGCTGCCGTTTGATAATCCCTGCCGTGAATGATGGAGAGCCGGCTCGCGCTGCGCCTCTGAGCTGGTAACGTCGGGAAAAACTGCTTTTCCTGACGGGGTAGGCAGGTGGGACACCTCTAACCGAGCCAGGCTGTCTCAGGTCCTGAGTGCTGGCACGGGCTGCTCAAGGGGGGGCAGATAGGAAGACCCCTGAAGCTACCCCAGTGCCGCCCCATGGCGCCTTGCACATCCAAATGGGGATTTGGTCCCCATGCTGTCAAAGGGCACTCTGGATGTAAGAGAGATGTTTGCAAGGGAAACAGCGGGGCTGCAGCCCCTCTCCCTCGGCCCCCAGCATGGCCAGGGGAGGGCTCAGGTCTCGCCCCCACCAAGCCCC